GTTAAATCCTATTCTTAATGATTCTCTAAAGGTATTCAACGTACAACGGCGACACATCCACCTCGAAAGGGAATGTAATTAAAACGCAGTCAGTAAGAGTGTTGAGGATCTCGAAGATAAAGACTTCACATAAAACGAAGCTTAAAGATTCCCGGTCACTCAATTTCGAAGGTTATCTTCCCCTTTTATTCGAACAATGTCACCTGCGTATAGAAATGGATTGGGGGAAAAGACTGAACCGTGCAGGATCGCCCTCTTAACCTATATCTTATCGATTCAGAGAGAGAGAGAGCGAGAGCGGGCGAGAATTAAAGACACAAAGAAAGAAAAAGAGAAAGGTAATCCATTTTACTGGGTTTGTTGCAGATGCTGACAACCTATCCAGAGAATACATGACCGCTGGATAAATTCTAAAAGACGGTAAAGTATTTGTGAATGAACAGAAGTCTTTCTTCCATTAGTCTTTCAAAGAAGTTTATAATGAAAATGAACAAACCTCAAAAATGAAAAAGTAATAAAAAAATACCTTGAAGTCATTGTCAACATTCTTGAATATTATTTATAATATATATATATATATATATATATATATATATATATATATATATATATATATATATATATATATATATATATATATATATATATATATATATATATATATATATATATGTGTATGTGTGTGTGTGTGTGTGTGTGTGTGTGTATATGTATGTATGTACTGGCAGCATATCTTCATTCAAGCATGTTTCATTAAATAATATAGACACATTAAGTCTATTTTAAAATAATCCTTTCTAGATCTCTAATTATCGTCTTGATGTTAAGTTGAAATCCATTAAGAGAGACGCCGTATTTTTTGTTAACCCAAGTGCTTTCATTCTCCTACAAGATCATCTTCAGAGGTGAATTGTGAAGACAAAATTAATGTAACTATATGGTGAGTTTTGCAAACACACGCGAACGCGTTCTGCTATAACTATTTTAAATTTAACCGTTGTGGTCACGATGTTTTGTAAAGCAGCAATCCCAATGCAAAGGGGGTAACCAGAGAGGCTAAACTGAAAAATGGTGTTAAATGTTAGTAGACTCAAATGCATTTTAAAATACTGCTACTATACTTGTAATAAATTTTGTTCAGTGTTGGTTGGTTGCTTTTGATATAAAGGGCCTCGAGAATTTGAAGTTTTTGTTCATTATTTTTGTGGTGTAGTATATTGGTGTTGTCAACAAGTATTTTCTTGTATTGTGAAAGAATACAGGAAATCTAATTATATACTATACTAAATTTAACACAACCGACTTAATCTTAAGCAATAACTTTTCTCCGTTAACTAGTGTTTTGGAAAAAAACAACATTCTTTATCAGTTTAAATTTCCTTTGGGAGATTGTATTTCTGTATTATTGTAGTTCTTTTAATAGAGACAAATATTTAAGTAAATGCTCTGTTTATAATAAACAGTATTAACGACATTTATCGGCCTGAATGTCCGAGAAATGGTCATAGAAAATGACTATGAAAATTTCTCGAACATTCAGGCCGGTAAATGTCGTTAAACCTGTTTATTATAAATAGAGCATTTACTTAAATATTTGTAGCTATCAAAAGAATGTATAAACATAAAAAACGTCTTAAAATAATTGTCGGACTTTGTCTATTTCATAATGTGTGACGTTATTTGTTTACATTTAGATACGCATCGAGCATGGAGAATTGTAGTTTAAAAACAGTAAAATCGACCGTGTTAACCAAAACACTCCTCTGTGGCTCAATCGGTAAAAGCACGTCAGGCTATATGACGGTTCTATATAGAATACAGGTTCGATTCCTGTCGGAGGACGCATATATTCTATGAAAATTTCTCGAACATTCAGGCCGGTAAATATCGTTAATACTGTTTATTATAAACAGAGCATTTACTTAAATATTTGTATCTATAAAAAGAACGCATAAACATAAAAAGTCTTATATATATATATATATATATATATATATATATATATATATGTTGTGTATTTGGGCAGCCTTCCCTTTTCTATACAAGTTTCGTTAAAAGCCACTGACAAGATACAGCGGTTAAAACACAATTATTAAATTACATGACCCGGCAGTCAACAAACAAAGTAACACTACAACATTCAGAAAAAAAGAACTTGTTTTAATTTTTGGAATGTATCTTTCGCTATACACATACGCATTCGCATATCTATTACAATACCTTTGTAGCTTGAATCATAGACTGTCCTCTTGCTGAAGACGTTAGTCCTTTCTTCTCGCTTTCTTTCACTAACTTTTCGATGAGTTCCCGCAGTTTTCATTCTGCATCTGCCATCAGTACAGTGTCATCTACGCGACTTATGTTGTTAAGATTGTATTCGCCAATAATAAATCCTGGTAGGTCTACTAGTTCTCTTAGGATTGCCTCGCTGTATAGGCTTAATAATTCTGGTTAGAAGGCGCACCCTTGTCTTACCTTATCCTTAGGGTCCGCTAAAGGT